GCACACTGAAAAGCAAGCCCCATTATTCCAAGAGTCGACACAAAAGTAAAAGTTTTAAAGGAAATATTCAAAATCCCAAACTACCTAAATTTTAGACCCAGGCTGATAGGAAGCACAGACCAGGTTTCTGTACTTAACCAAAATCACTACTTATTACAACCAACTAGATTCTAGATGCAAGTAAACAATTGAATTAAATTAAGTAAACTCTACAAATTAAAACTCTAAACCTCTTATAAACTAATCCACCCTGCCCCCCACCAACACACACAAATACAGATAATCAAAGACTATCCTCCTGGTCACCACCCCAGTAATTTTTCTATCAGCCATAAACTTACTGATCAACTTTCCTACATTCAAGTCTAAGTGTTTATCTTGAACATGATCCTTCTACTTGATTATTGGTACCAAAGTATTTTAATCTCCATTTACCTAGCAAACTCTCTTTGGCCATAATCACTTTGAACAGATAACACAGGGCACTGATACATGTTATTAACTACCATTCATGAGCGGAGGTGAAATTGGAGAACAGTTTCAGTCTTTGACCACAACATCTGTTGGATTGGTTCTTGCGCATCAACCTTTCTTTTTCTGAATGCTCCCACTAGTTTTGCAAGAGGCACAGGGTGGCTGGTAGAAGATTTTTCTAACTCACGTCTCAAATTGCAGAATCTGCTGAAGGAAAGGTGAACTGGTTTTCTTCAGGATTAAAGTGGTTTACTGCAGAAAATTGAGACAGAGTTTCTTGGTTGCTGTAAATCTGCTAGTTTCTGGTCTGACTAGCTTCTTACTGTCTTGTTCATGAGACAGCACAAGACAGTGCTCCAAGCTTTTCAGCTACTGATAACCAATCACATTGTAGTTGGTAAGCAAAAGACCTTTGTCATTGATAACTGATCCAGTCTGTAAATCAACCAACTTTGCTGATAAACAATTCCTCAACTCCAGTTCATCTGCACAATGCTGGAACCCACACCAACACAACAACAGGTATCAAATTCCTTACTTTCAAAACATGCAGTTATATTTGTAAATCCCTGGTTTTAAAAGTTCCTTCTCATTTTTGACCACAGTTTTAGGATGCACAAAAATTTAAAAAGATACTGTCTTTACACCTGCACAGCCATCAGACCAAATAGCAGGAGGAAAGAAATATTCCGTCTCCTCCACCCTTCCATGGACAATGTCTCACCTTTCCTTGGATGGTGCTCCTCCTTTCTGCATGATGCTCCCTCCTTTGAGCTGCCTTCACACCCTGCCCATAGGCCAAACCTGCCTCTAGGCTGGGGCATTCTTGTTCCACCCTATCCATAGACTCAGCTAGTCTCCTCTCTGTCACTTTCACTGCACTTGGGGCACCAACATCACAACTCAATCATTAACCTTGATTTTAAGGTATATCACCAGAAGAACAAAGCACTACAGATTTACTCCAAAGTCCAGGAAGAAGCCAAGCTCAGGTGCACACTTCTTACACAGAGATAGGTTTGTGAAGATACTTATTTCTGTAATGGGTAGAATTAAGGGGGCTAGTGCACTTGACCAACTAGTTGTGCTTTTAATGAAGTGTAAGCAGGAAGCCCAAGCTGATTTTTAAGATCAGACAACTTAAACCGCAAAATTCTATCCCATGTCAAGATTCTACATTTTGGACTCTTGCTCAACTAAATTCCCCATGCACCATTTTGTTCGCTTCCCCCAGGACTGGTAGATTCCACCCATAGTATTGTTGGCTAACTGATGTCCTTTTCAGAGCTTAATAGGTGAGGTATACATTGGCTGTAAAGGATGAATGTGAGGCTGAGAAAATTGATTGCATTATTTGGGTGAAGTGGTGTATCTGGGTGTTAGATCTGTATCTTGAGTGCTGCTATTGAATGAGAAGGGTGTGGTGAACTCAGTAGCATGCGAGGCTGGTGTCGTGAGAAGTCTCACAGAAAGGTGTATAAACTAACACTGACCATCAGTTATGAAGTGGTTAAATTTCATAGCACTACTGCTAGGGTGTTGTGTCCAGCTGGAGAAATTGACTACACTGGTCGCAAAAACAGCATCAAGGCTTCCAGGTGGATCAAGATGTGCTCTTATCAAGTTTCCAGCCAATGGGTGGTGCTGCAACTTCCACATTAAACTCTAGCCATTGTTCCTAAACTACAACAGTGACTACACTTATATTGTAATTAATTGGCTTTGTAGCAACTTCAAACTTCCTACGGTTTTGAATGATGTCAAAGAATTATAAATCTTTCTTTCTTCTTTCTTTATTCCTCCTACCTAAGCACACATGAAATTAAAATAAAATATTTTACTTCTGAGTAGAAGAAGAAAGACTTGCATTTATATAACATCATTCATGACCTCTGGGAGTATTTTACAGCCAAGGAGGTACTGTGAAATTTAGTCACTGTTGTAATGTAAGAAATTTATAAACAAGTTTGTGCCCAGCATGGACTGACAACAGCAATGACGATGGTCAGACAATTTGTTTGCAATGTTTGTCAAAGGCTAAATATTTGCTAGAACACAAAGAGAACACTCCTGTACATCAATGAAATATTCTCTGTTTACCTAAGAGTGGAAACAGGTGTAACTATTTTTTAAGCATTCAAGGATGAGAGTGTCAGTGGCTAGGCCACCATTTACTGACCATTCGAAAGGACAGGTAAGAGTCGACCATGTAGGTCTGCAGTCACATATAGTGCATACCAAGTAAGAATGGCAGTTTTCTTCTGTAAAGGTTTCTTTCCAACAATCAGCAATGGTTTCATAGTCATCATCAGGGTCTTAATCCCAAATTTTTATCAAATTCAAATTCCACCATCTGCCATGTGGGGATTTGAATCAGGTCCCCAGAACATTACCTGGGAATCTATGATTAGTAGTCCAGCAACAATACCGTTAGACAATCGCCACCCCATCTGATCTTATTTGAAAGACAACATAACTCAGATTGCAGCCTGCCCTAAGCATGATGAGGATTTTTTCCTGAAATTAAACCACCTTTCAATGCGATAATACATCCTGAACATGCTATAGGACCATTATAAAACAGAATCAGATGCCAAGCAAAATATGGTGTTATAAAGAAACTGGCCAAAAGCTTGATATTATTCTAACTGATGTTAATACTGGACAAGACAGATCCCAGAAAGAGACTGGGCATATGTCAAAGAATCTACTAGTGTACTTTTAGCAATAACAATTAAATGCTTATTACAAAAAATAAACATGAACCACATTACACCAGACAAAAAGACTAGAAGGATTTCACTAAAAACACCAGGAAAAGATTGAAATCTACAATATTCTTTCTATCCCAACAATATCCTTATACACTAAAACAGTAGCAAAGAGTTACCACTATCTTTACACCAAGGCTTGTTGCTCAGACTAGCATAACTGCAACCAGTTTCCTTCTACTAAATATTTGCACATTCACCAGCAGCCTTCCCCTGAATTTTCTTACCAGCTCTGTGGGCCTCCGAGGCCTGTGCATAGCAGCGACTTCCAGAATCAGATCACCATGCATGGAATAATGGAATAGATGTGCTTGCGCAGCTTTGGAGGAACATTGTTCACCAGATGTTTTTCTCTCAGTAGTATTCCCCACCAAGATACCTAAACCAAACTGGAAACTGAACTCACTAGTATTTTAACTTCAGAACAAACAAAAGTTCTCTAAACTCAAATTGTGATTTTGCATTCTCTGTCATACCCCACACTAACTTCTTAAAATTTTCTGTCTTTCTGTGCGACCCTGGACCTCTGCCAGTGGGCAACAGCACATGCATTATTTCCAATCTTTTTCTTTGTTGCACTAAACTCTCATTGTTTCACCTCAAAGTCTGTAAGTCTCATAAAAATGCACAGACAAACAGCCCTTTAGATCTTCCAGCACTAAGTCCACAAAAAAATCTAAAATGAAACTAAAACCATTTCCCTCTTCCTAACATGCAAAATACAAAAATATAAATTAAACTTGAAACAGCATATTGTTTCAAATTATTGGTCAAAGATTTAGACATTAAGGAAAGCCTTGAAAGAAAAAGATGTGGTTAAAAGGGCAGAGATGGGGAGGGATGGAATTCCAAGGCTTAGAGCTCAACAACAAAAGGTGCAGCTACAATCATGGAATGCAGAATGCTCAAGCGGCCATTCATGTAAGCATGGCTATCTCATCGGATTGAGGGATGGGTCAAAGCTACAGACTTCATCAGGGTGAGGCCATGGAAGGAGTTGAAAACAAGAAAAAGAATTAAGGTATCGCTTAACCAACGGTAAATATAGCTTAGTGAGAATGAAATGATAGGTTAATGTGTCTTGGCATGATTAATGCTACAGGTAGCAGAATTTTAGACAACCTCAATGTATGAAGGGTTCAATGTGGGAGAGCAGCTGATATGTGTTTTAATAGTCAAGACTAGACAAAGCAAAGAACTTTAATAAGTTACAGCAGACGGGCAGTTGGAAATCAAGTTAAAGAATGTTAGAGGCATCTTAGAAACGGCATGCATTTGTGGTTGAAAGGGGACGATTTAGTCATCACAGTTACAAGCAGTCTGGTATAGTCTCAGATAAGAGTGATTCACAGGAGAAGGTTGGAGTTGGTAGCTAGGGGAAAAGTTTGGTGTAGGGACTGAAAACAATAGCACTAGTGTTTGCAACATTAAACTGGGAAATTTTCTGGCCATCCAATACTGTCTGACAAGCAGCCTGATAAATTAGCAACAGAGGGGGAGCGATGAGAGATAATGCTATGCCACTTTATTCTCTGTCCGCAGATTCTGGCCTCCACATTTGTTTTCTCTTCCTTGGCTTTTGTGATCCGCCCATTTTCTCCTTACAATAAGTACAATAAGGTCAAATCTGTAGACTATATTTATTTTAGACTCAATATATAGTTAATTCGCCGTGATGTTAAAAAACGCTGTGCAGATCTGGCGCTATATTCCTGCTGGAATTGAAAGATATTTCTGAAGTTTTCATCTTCTTACCTTTTTGAATATTCTCCATTTTAACTTCAATATAGTCATCACGATCAGTTCTACAATTTTCATGATAAAAACCAAGTGCATGCATCAACTGATGCTGTATTATACCAATTTGCACACAGTGGGGTTTCTGCAGAGATATTTCTTGTGCTCTTTGTTTTCCTGGCCCTACATATGACCAGCATCTAGGAGAAATGAGGCATAAAAGTAATTTCTCTCCAAAATATTTCAGCTTATATATTTACATCAAAATCTAAGCGTACAGTGATAACACTCATTCCTATTCCTTCAGCAACCCTTTCAACTTTACACATTAACTTTGTGACAGTTTATTGGAAATTCATTGAGAAATACAACTATTTTTACCTGTTAAATATGGGCAAAAACCAAAGCCATCACCTTCAACCCCTACTACAAGCTCTTCAAATTGCATTGAATTCAAACCAATTCCTTCGTCCGAATTCCTTTTATGCAATACTAGCCAATTCCCATCTTTCACTCACTAGAACTACCCTACAGCTCCATGTTAACTAAGAACAGTACAACACAAGAACAGGCTCTTTGGCCCACCATGACAGCACCAACATATTGTGCCTTTCCAAAATAGAATCCAATTGCCTCCACATAATCCGTATCCCTGTATTCCTTGCCTATTCATATATCTGTCAGGATGCCTCTTAAAAGTGGCTATCATATCCACCTCCACCACTTCCTCTGGCAGCACGTTCCAGGCACTTACCTCTTCTGTGTAAAAAACTTGCCTCCCACCTCTCTTTTAAACATATCACTTTTACCTTAAACCTACGCCCCCTAGTATCTGACATTCCTTCCCTGAGAAAATGACTATCCATTGTATTCATGCCTCTCATAATTTTATAAACTTCTTTCAAGTAGATATTCATCTGTTTTTCTCCCTTCTCTAGCTAATCTCTCTGTTTCTCATCTATTTCCCCCCCGTCTTTAAACAACTCATACCCATCTGTTTTACAAGTTGTTGGTCATGTGCCTAATATATTTTTCTTTAACCTGACATGAATTTATTTCTGATTATGATTCTATGAATCCCATTTAAAAAGTTGCTTCACATTGAGGACATTTAGGATATTTCTTGTTGCTGACAAGGAACTTGCATTAAAGAAATTACTAATCTACTCTACCTCAAAAACTAAAATATGTTTAAGTATAAAAAAAGTTCATATACTGAAAAAGTACCATTTCTGCCTAAACCAGTAATGCTTCAGGTTTCTTCCACCATCTTCCTTTGGGCAGAAGATGCAAAAGTTTGAAAAAACGTACCAACAGATTCAAGAACAGCTTCTTCCCTGCTGTTATCAGACTTATGAATGGACCTCTCATATATTACGTTGATCTTTCTCTGCACTTTCTCTGTAGCTATAACACACTATTCTGCATTCTGTTTGAATACCCTGATATATTTACATGAGGTATGATTTGTCTGGTTAGCACAAAAAACAATACTTTTCACTGTATCTCGGTACATGTGATAATAATAAATCAAACCAAATCAAAGTTGCACTGGAAAAGAGCAGTCTTTTTTTAAATGGATGAAAGCACAACAATATAAGATGAAAGGTGAGTAGAATAGGTAATTCAGGAAGCGGCGATGCGAAAACACCAATTTTGAGCTTCTGAAACCTGTAGGTTGTTGGAAAAAGGGAAGCAAAAGGTACTTATGAGTTCCTGTGTTAGCATTTTCGAAAACAATGAAGAAGATTTTATTTTTACTGATCATCGAGATAGAGCGCAGAGAGGAAATTTTGGCCTGGATGATAATTCGAAAATTACAGAATTCACCTTATTTCCCTTCCATTAATTTAAATGAAATGAAAATCAGAAAGGTTTTGTTCAGAGCATACTTTCCTCCCTACTGGACTTTCTTTTTCTTGTTCCATTCAAGTTATGCTTCATAGATACCAAGAAGCTGATTTCCCTGGTTGTAGGATGAAGAACTGTTGAGTTATAATTTTAGGATTAACCGTTTAGAATTTAGATCAGAGAACTGTCTTCACTCTGAGGGTTGCGCAACACAGGAGCTCTCTACCTTAGCAGGCTGTGGATGCTCAGTTGGCAAGTATTTTCAAGAATAAGACTGATAGATCATTGGGCACTCAAGGAAACAACAGACATGCAAATAAAAATGCAGGCAATTTTGAACATCAGCCATGATCTTATTGAGTGACAGTGCAGGGTCAATATGGTTCAAACCCATAGACTGAAGGAAGGCAAAGATCGACTCTGCTAAGTAAAATAATAAAATGGGGGGTTGCTTCCATACCTGCAGGCTAACCAATGATGGTTGCATTATGCCAAAGCAACAAAGTGTAAATTTTCCTAAGACATGATTTTAACGGGCAATAATTTTCAAGTACAAAAATGAAAAGTAGCTAATGTAACCAAATGCACAGCTGTGGCTCCACACTGGCAGCATGTACCTGTAAAACTGCCTCCCTTTAATTGGTATCTCATCAAGAATGTACATACAAAGGATTACTTACAGCAAAAAAGGAACAAGGGATCAATATTCAGAGGAGTTAACATCCAACTTGCATTGACAAGTACAACTCGCATTTAACATTTTAAAAAATTCATTCATTGGAGACAGATATTATTTCATTGCCCATCCCTAACTGTCATGCAAAAAGTGGTGGTGAGCCGCGTTCTTGGAGTCCTAGAAACATTTTGAACTCAGGGGGAACCACAGCGCTAGTAGGAAGGGACTACCACGAGTTTGATTCAACCACAGTGAATGAACATCAATATCAGCCTAAGTTATGATGGTGTGTAGCTTAGACGGAACTTTCAAGTGGTGGTGTTGCCATATATCTGCTGCCCTTGACCTCCTAAATGGCAAAGGTTATTTTGAAGGTACTGTTGGAGGACACTATGTACGTTACTGCAGTGCAGTAGCTGGTACACACTGCTGTTACTGTGTGTGGTGGTCAAGGCAGTCAATGTTGAAAGTGGTGAATGGAGTACAGATCAAGTGGGCTGCTTCATCCTGGGTGTTCAAGTGTTGTTGGAGCTGCACTCATCCAAATAAGTGGACAGTATTCTGTCATAACCCTGACTTCTGTCTTGTAAATGGTGGTGAAGCATCAGAGACACACTTGCTGCAGTATTCCTATAGTCTGAACTAGTCATCTGCCAGTTTTTATGTAGCTGGTCCTGTTTAGTTTCTAGTCAATGGTATGCCAAAAATTTTAACAGTGGTGATTCAGCAATGGTAATGCCATTGAATGGTTGTGAGAAGGAATGATATACTACAGTTGTGAGAAGGGATGATAAACAAGTTAACAGATGAGGCTAAAATTGTATCAGAGATAGTAGGAACTGCAGATGCTGGAGAATCTGAGATAACAAGGTGTAGAGCTGGATGAACACAGCAGGCCAAGCAGCATCATAGGAGCAGGAAGGCTGA